GCATCTTTCTCATTCCTGTTCAGAACAGAAAATTTACATTTATAGCTCTGTGGATTATATTGCTCAAAAGATGTTTTCCTTCAGAAGAACTTAAGTCCCTCATTTACCCTGGGCCGAGATTTGCAAAGGGAATGGAAAGCGCAAATGTTTTTTTTGAGTGTTCCTTCTCTTTTCAGCAATAACATGCCACATGAGAGACCAGAACTGCAGGTGACAATTGCACAAAGTAAACAAGAGACTCATAATAAATTAAACTAGCTGTCATGTACTTCAACATATATGTTGAATTGCTTCCAGAAGTGACAACTGCTATTTGGAGTACCTTCACTGTGCTGAACTGTTCAATAGGAATTAGCAATATCTGTTCAGGACTAATGCTGAAAATACCTTCAGGAAAACTAATTTCAGGCTGGTACCCACCTTCATTCTGAGCATCACACAAAAATTGTCTGCATTTCTTATCCTACCATAAATTTCTAATTAAACTGGAAAGATATCCCTAAAGAAGCACCAGCATTTTATAGTTTTACAGTGTGAAATTACAGTAGTCTTTCATATGCTACATTTCAAAAGCACAACTTTTGTAAGCAAAGCACAGACCTTAATCCCAGGCTGTGTTCTAAGCAAGAGTTGTCTCAAACAGAGAGAAATGAAAGCAAATAAAGGAAAATCAACTAAAACATCCAGGTATCATGCATTCCTAGGCATCAATCCTCCCTTATCTGCTACTACACTTGTAAAGAGGAGAAGGAATAATGGTATGATCATGAATGCAAGCACTTAATTTACAGTTTTATGGCTAGCAGAAAAGCTTCACTGAAATTACAGGCTAGTAACAGAATGACTGTACAGAGCAGACAGACTCTGAAATTCTATGTATTTAGTTTTCACACTCTTTTTCAAGGGGTATTGATTGCATTTTAAAAAAAAAAACCCAAGATCTGGATTCTCACAGTAGAGACCCTGCTTCTGCTCCCAAATCTATCTTAGATGAGATACTGCACTGAGTCACCGTTTTGGAGAAGGAAACTGCTTTCTAAATCAGGATAGTGTAAATATTGCTTATAAACAAACATGCCTTTAGAAAAAAAAAAATCTTTGATATTAGGCAATATATGCAGAGAACCAGGATTTTACTCCAGGGAGATTTTCTGAGGTAGTGATTACCAGCATGAGGATTATGCAGTTTAGCTGTCCTTCCTTAGCTCCCTTTCAAGAGTTATACAGACCTTCCCAATATTTTTATTCTACTCACACAGAGTTTAGAATGCTGATTTTTAGGTTACTTAACTGTCCGCTTCCTCATACTTAAAAGAGCAACAGAAAAACACCCAACCTTTTTCGTTTTTTTTTTCTTGCTTCTTGATAGTACTTCCTGGATTTCTCCCACAGAATTTTCTTTCAATTTTCATAACCATTCTTTGAATCTTACCTATTTCTAATATATATTTATGTCAAAAGATATAATTAAAACAAAAATCAGTGAGAGACACTTGAGATCAAAATAGCTGCTTAATGAAGACACCAAAACCCCCCTTAACATTTCAAAAAAATAAAAGCTCACAATACAGCATATAACCTTCTAAGGTTTCTGTTATCTTCATTCAGTCATTTATAAATGAAAGTGACACAAAAAATCTGTTATATTAGCTTTATTAACTCAGTTTTTAAAATTATTTTAAAGGTATACATGCAATAATAATCTTCAAATTAGAAAAAGTGAGCACTTCGAAAGACTGTTTCAAACAGTAATTCTGGTATTTAATCAATCCTTACACTGACATGTCACCAGTTTATCTTCTAATTAAAATAAGACAGTATCTTGATCAACAATCATAGGCAAAAACATCAATAAGGAGGGTCATTATGTGTTTAAATTTGTAACCTTTATAGTTTTTCATTTCTTCTTTATCTTCTTGTCCTGGGTTTAGCAGTAGCAGTCAATTTTTCTCCTTCTTGGTAGCTGGCGCAGTGTTGTGTTTTGACTTTCAGCCTGGGAACAGTGCTGATAATACCAATGTTTTAAGTTGTTGCTAAGTAACGTTTACCCTGACCAAGGACTTTGTGAGGCTCATGCTCCACCAGGGAGAAGGGGAATCCAGGAGGAAGCAGAGACAGGACACCTGACCCAAGCTAGCCAAAGAGGTATTCCATACCACAGCACGTCATGCCCAGGAGGTAACTGGGAGTCACCCGGAAGGACAGGGGGTCTTCTAGGTCAGACTCATTTTTCGGTGGGTGGTACTGTATTCCCTTCCCTTGTTATTTTCTCTTATCATTGTTGTCGTTGGTGGTAGCGGTGGTGATTTGCGTTGTACATTGGTTGCTGGACTGTTCTTGTCTCACCCCGCGGTAGTTGCATTCTTTCAATTCTCCTCCCCATCCCTCTGGGATCGGGGAAGGGGAGAACCCCCAGGGGGCGGGGGGGCGGCGCGGGCCTTGACTGCTTCCAGTCCGGCACCACTCACTGGGAGTGAGTGAACGAGCTGTCTGGCTGGGTTTAAACCATGACACTTCTCTATGATAAAAGCAAACTAGCAGATTTTACAGTTTAACTGAAATATTAACATATTTTTTTCCTTTCCATGTAAACTATATTCCTACATACATAATACTGGAAATATCTCTTCAAAATTTTACAGATAAGAAAATTACCTATTTACTAAATTTATCCTTAAAAGAACACCCCAGGACAAAAAAAAAAACAACTGTCTGTTTGCATGCTTCCCATGCTGTAACCTTTTCTTATAGGAAACTAAATGGGAAGATGCCCTTCTATTACTAACTACAGTATTCAGACTGGACTAGACACAGACCACAGTAAGATAATTGTGAACCACGTATTAGGAGATTCACACTACCTGTTTTTCTCTGCAGATCTGCTCCTGACAAAAATGTTCAATCTGATATATATAGCTAATATAGTAGTTGAAGATGCTGTAGAATCCCTTTCATAAAGTTCAACTATCAATTAAGGTAGAATTTTTTCCCCCACTCTATTTTAGCAAAAGATCATGCTTATCAGTCAGACAAACCACATTTAGGAATGGCCCGTTTACTGTCAATTCTTTTTAAGCTAACATTTATACTTCATAAATCTCTTTCCTCCATTTTTACTAATTATCCTTATTGTATTACGATAGATAATAGGAGGGAATTATTTTTTTATCAGAACAGTTTTTCACATTTTGCTTTTTGTTCCCTATGTCTAGCAGTTTGTATTGTGTTTTAGGAACAACAATTTTTCACCAAATGGTGAAGCCATGGCAGAGCACTTATTCCTACAGCTGTACACATTCGTTTTAGAATTAGGAGAAAATAATTTAAATTCAGTGAAAACACTGACATTTTTCTTGGAGCATTCTGCTTTAATCCTATTTGTATGTTCATAAGAAGCCAGTTTCTGCTTAACTACAAGATGAGAAGCATACATGATCTCCTAAGGGGCTCCTTCTGCATTCACTCACAGAAAAACTCTCTAATGGGAAAGAAAAAACATTATAATGGATTTAAAATGCTCAAAATGGAAAAGCAACAAATGTGCATGTAATGCTTAATGAAACAGCATAGTCTATGAAAATTTTAGACAATATGTCCTTGCTCACACCTGAACTGTAAAAAAAACTGTATTTGAGAAGAATCCAGGAGTAGTGCAAATTCTGGTAGCATTTCTTAACACACTGAGGAACCTGGGGATTGGAAAGCTCAAATATGAGACCAAGGAAGAAATTTTCTGAGAATGCTCTTGCCATTAAGAGAAGCTCTATACTCTTATGCATAAACACATCTTAACACAAGTACCCCCTAAACCCTCAATAAATTTATATTCATTATTTGCTTATTAGTGAGAATGTAGTCAATACTGATTCATTTGGAAACTACTAGATTGTAAAAATCAAGATGTCCTCACCCATTTTTAAGAGGGAGTACTGTTTGGTATGTTAAAGGAAGGATCACGAAATTACTTGGAGGTCTTTTCTCACTGTGGATGTGGCTCATTAACATTAATGAGAAAACCCCTTCCACAGTGATGGGAGAAATAAAGATACCCCATATGCAACTAGACATACATGGCTCAGAGGAAAAATGAATAAAAATTAACTAACCAAACAGAAGCTTGTTGCTTCAGTTAGGGTCAGTGATAGTTACATGAAATAGTAATTATTTACTTCCCAAAATATTTTAGAGCTGGTAAAACATCTATAGAAGCACTAAGGTACAGTTCCTTGCTATTTCATTTAAATTTTGCTTTAACAAAATGTTCAGACACGCAGGTTTTAAAACCTCTAGCAACGAAGCTGAAATTTGGAAGTCACATTGCTTTCTATAGGGGTGTCTGACACAGGCCATGAAGAAGCAAAATCTGAAGGTCAAGAATGAAGCCATAATAATAGCGAGCTAAAAGCTAGAGGTACACTATTTCCACTTGAATTTTGAGTCAGAAAGGTCCCATTGCTATCATTTCTGTGATTACCCATGTTTTGGTCTGGCAACTTAAAGCTAACATGATAGGTTGATGACTGGGTATTTTTCCTTCATTTCATCTGGTTCCCTTACTGTCTGTTGTGTTTGATTTCTCTCCTTCCCTTGTCATTCACCTTTGGTTTTTCCCTGTGTTCATATTTATTCACTACAGAGCACTTCACTAGATATTAATCCACTCACTGCTTCTCCAACACATACCCATGATCTTAAAAACAGAAGAGCATTCATGTTACAATAGAAAAGCTGATCATAGGTACCTGAATTAATTCAGATAGGTAATACTTTGTCAGCAACTGTGGATTTGAACTTGCTGAAAAAAACATCAAAATGAACATACTGCAAAAAACACTTATCTTCAGTGCCTGATTTTCCTAACACATCAAATGTTGCCACACTGCTGATCTAATTAAAAATTACATTTGAATTTACATATCTAGAACTGTATACTCAGAAAAAAAATAGCTGTTTCACTTTAGTTTGTTGTGTGTGTAGATATGGTGACCCATTTTTCTTACCTATGTCATTTACTCAGCAAGAAACTACAGAAAAGTTGAATCCTCTATGCTCTTCTTACCTTTGCCTGGGTATAAAAGGCACAGATGATAAGTGCAGCTCTACTACAATCTGTAGTTCAAGAAAAGGAAAGAAACAAAAAAAACCCTACCGCCAACCTGTTAGATGTACTATAGCTTTCACATTCACTAAACAGCCATTGTTGATTAAAAAAAAAATTAAAAAGAACAAAAAATAAAAATCCATGGAAAGACTTTTGCAAACTTCCAAAGAAGTATCACTTCAGCAAACACTCCTTTAAATATAGTTATGTATACATTAAACAAATTATGTACTGACACATTTTTTGATTCAATGTTCCTCTGAAGAAAAGACTGTCTGTAAAACAATTTGTGCTATCAGATACAGTATTTAACATCATTTCATCAAGAAAAGCTGGACCTCCAGGAGTAAGCTTCCTAGATTATACCACAGAAATTACATCGGACTTCTTTTAGAATTTGATTAGGTAAAGAGATAAATCATAATCAGTGCTTGTTATCGCTGCAGTCTATTTTTATTAACCCAACATGAGCAGTAAGCCAGATATCTGAATTTAAATGCAGTTATTTTTAATCTAATGAAAATACTGTCTTTTAAAGCATCATGACTCAACACAGCAGTTTTTCTATTTCTTTCTGGTTTAGACTGAAGTCATTACTTCTCAGAGAACAGATTCTTGTAACAATGCTTTATTCTGCACAGTACTCAAGATGATGATCATCATCTGTACAACATTTATTATTGCTCTTCAGCAAATATAAATCACAGACTGGATTTCTGAATCCAGATGTTTAGTCTTACTCTTTAGTCTTACAATGGCTTAAATCCCAGTCATTCCAGTTCAATGTAGTAAAGTTGTTGCCTATTACGTATTACATCAGGCAACCAAGATTTGTTATAGACCGATCTCCTCCTTACACACTAATAAGAATGAGTAAAATAGTAAGACCTCCAACTCATTCAGCTGTTAAAATGAACCAGAACTGGAATACTGGGATTTGCTGAAAGTTTGTTTTTTCTACAGAGTTAAAAACTGTTAAAACCAAGAAAAATCATACCTATTAAAATATAAAGAATTACCTAGCTAATGAAAGTTTAATTAAGCATACACTCTTGACACAATATTTTAATGTTCTACATTGTTTATCCCAGTGTAAAGAGACTTAATTTTAATAAATTGATAGAAATTTCTCTTGTCGTGAGTTCTGCTAGTCCTTAATTGGAAATCATTTATTATATTTACCACAAGCTGCAGTTATGAAGGGGAAAACCACCAAGTAGCTCACTAATCATAATACTTAAGTAAACACTGGAGCACAGAATTGCGTGGTTTTTTGGTTCAGTTCTTTCCGAGTACCACTTTTATATTAATTCCTTCTTTAAAATAAAAGCTTTTGGAATCAGATAATAATACATGACTGGTGGTTCCTACCATGGTCACTGGGCCACTGCCTCACCTCTCCACCCACAACACTTAATATTTAAACTATAAACATGAGAGAGAAAAAAAAGACATTTTCAAATGTCAAAATGATGTTAAATGTCAAAATGTTCAAATTAACAAATCAGAGAAGATCAAGAGAGAAGGGTAAAGATCAAACAGACAATCCTACAATTGCCAGGTCTCGCTTACATAAGCAGAATATTGTCCATATGCTTGCTACAAGCAAACTCTTCAAGAAGAAAAAAACCCACTGTCTGTGCTGTCTCATTTCCTTAGATGGGAGTATGAAGATGAGCATATTGCTCCTGCTTTATTTTATACATTTTACCGAGGAAACAAAATGTCAGATTCAAATTCAAAATCTGTAAGCAAATGCTCTGGATTGCCCAGATGATGCACAAAGTTTACAAAAGGTCTTTCTCAGCTTTACTTGGCTGTGCCTGTTTCATCAGACTAGATACAGAATAGCAAGTCTGTTGGCGCTAAGGACTTGATGTCCACAGCGCACATAATTTGTGGCTTTTACTCTGGAATACTTCTGTGATATCCCAGTTGAGGCAGACATTTTATTTCCATTTGATTGCAATAATCAGTTCATCCTGTTTACTGAATGTTGGAGCATATCAGCTATGTCCCTGGATCATATCTTTAGTTTCATCGTAAAGAACGCAGTTAAGCACAGGATATAGGGATGATTGAGATATTCACTGCCAAAACACATTTCTAATCCAGACTGAAGTGCACATATAGGGACTGTAAGCAGTAAATGTGGATGTATGTATAAAGAAATGGAGAAAATGACCTGTGGGTTTTAATTTGTGGATTTCTATTTACTTTGGACTCACTCCAGTCTGGCTCCCATTAGCAGCTGCAGTACATTACAAGATCCTTAGATACTTTTTCCCAGTCTAGTTTCAGGCAAGAGAATTAAAATATTTTTTTTCCTGAGACTACTCCATGGTGGAGGTCAAAGCATGGTATATGCCAACACTCTAAAAGATTGCTTTGAAAGGCCAATCCTCTGAACTAAAATACTAGGTAGATGTGGCCTCACATCATCTGTACTTATAACACCTGGCAGTAGCAATCAAATTGTAGTTTCAATATATATTTTTGCATAGAAGAAAAAGCTGTAATTATTATGACAAACTTTGCAAAGGTCTAAAACAATGATAAAATCCCACAAATTTATAGAACAGCAAACCTACTTGATACAATGTTCTCAATCCCTTCAAAAGGTTTGATTCAAGGATTCTGATACTGGAGGTACATGCAGAAATCAGTTTCGGTTTTCATGTCACTTTGAAACTTCAGTTCTCCTTGTGTTTTTTTTTGTTTGTTGGTTTTTTTTTGGAGATTTTTGTGCGTTTTCCCCAAATACACAAATAAAAACTACTGCAGCCATGCAGCTTTCTCAGAGTGATACATCCAAAAAAATAATTCCAAAAGCTTCTTTTTTGCTCATCTTAAGTTGAAAGCAATTTGGATCATATATGCATACACTAATAATATACCTAAAGTGCAGTATTTTGCCGGTCATTGGGATTTCAATTTATTTGTTATCCTAACATAACATACTAGTTTTGTTTCACATGAAAAATCCTACTGAATAACAACAATGATAAAAATCACCAGTGGCACTATCTGGGTAGTTAGTGCTATTTTTAGTTTGAAAGCAACAGCTTTTGGTAACTTATTTGAATAATTTCAAAGGCAAGACAGTTCTAATGTTGAGTGCGTGTCTCAGTTCAGCCCATGAATGTGAACTCTTCATGGCCCTGCCTAGCCCTCAAAGGGTGAAAAGAAAGTTCACATTCAATTCTGCAAAGAGATGAACCAGCAGTCAGCTTATGTTAAGATGGGAAGCAACATCCAAAAGAGATTCACTGTTCAAGGCACACTTGTTAAGTTCACCCCATTCATAAACTTGCATTATTTCATACCTGTCCCTTAATTACCTAAAAATGATCAGTTTGGTACATACCAATTATAAATACTAATAATATCTGTAAGCTCAGACACATAAAAAGATACCTGGAGTAGAATATGTATACTGCATAGAAAACCAGTTTTCTTCATTGTTCACACTTAGTCTATGCCACAAAACATGGGTCACTGAACAAGCCGTAAGTTATTTGAAATTCCAAAATGCAATTCCAACTGGAGAGAACTACAGCTAACATAGTTCTTGTATTGATTAACCGCTATGGTAATTATATGAAATTCTGTATATTTTAATTCAGCAGTACTCCATTTCATATATTTTCCAGATGCATTTTTCTTACTTATGAATGTTAAGTGCACGGACACAATATCTTGGCAATGTTTTCACACAAGTCTCGAGAAAGGCATTAACTACTGAGATTTAATAAACATTATTTATGTCAAGTCCCTTTGAGAATTACTCTGTCTGAATTAAAAACTTTGAGTATTACTAGAGTGTCTTATATTGTCTTGTTACAGTACATTTTGCTGAAATTCGAAAAAATGACTGGACAATACTTGCTTCTTGTGTGCTTCATTATTTCATGGCTCTAATCCATTCTCAATTTAAATTAGAGTATATATTGTATTTTTCTCATAATACATTTTCTTCAGGATTACAGCCAAAGTTACACATTTTAGCATGAAGTACTTGTCTTGCACACAGACTGGATCCAGCATACAGGCATTAAAGCACAGGTCTGAGAAGATCGAGTCAGATATAAGAAAAAGAACTGAAACCCAAGATACAGTAACGAAGTACTTTAGATAAATTAACATAAAGTTGTTTACAGGAAAAGGCAGGAAAGTAGGAGAACCAGTCTTCCTGTTCAGTTCATTTATTTGCTTTTAATTATTACACTTCTGTTTTGAGCATCTTTTAAGCAGAGACATCTCTTTGTAACTTTACTTACTAGTTTCTATGGCAAGATACAGTATAGAGCAAATCTGGTTTGTGAACACATAAATTTAGCATAGGAAGCACACAAAGAAGCAGTATCTTCACATGAATTTAAAGCAAAACTTTGGTTATTTGTTTTCTTAGCATTTAAATGTGAGAGATGTAAGAACTTAATCTTTGCTTTAAAGGAAAATATTCAACAAATGACTATCTGTGGAGCTGGCTGAGCCCTTTGTAGACTGGGTCAAGCTAACCTTGAAATAGTGATTAGGTAAAATTAATAATGTATTTGCTCTTGTAATCCTAGTTTTCCATACTTTAATGTAAGAAAGGCCATCTTCAATGTTTTTATAGACTCACCAAGAACACGTATTAGCACAGCAGTATGTCTGGTTGCAGCAGAAATACAATTATGTAAATGAGATATGCGTTCCCTGAAGACTGCTAATAGAATGATTGACCTATATACCATTTAATTTGTTCTCATGTGTTCTCTTTATTGTCTTCCAGCTGCACCAGAAATTAAAACCTGTTAAACTGCGTCGCTCCCCAATTATATATCAAAGGTGCTTGTGTCACTTCATGTCAAATGCAATTAATAGTTTGCATGCTCCTTATCACCAGCAGTACATCGAGTTCTGGCTGGATTTTGGGGGTTTTTATTTATTTGTTTTAAAAAACAACAACTAGTGCCTCA